TTTTATTATCAAAGAAATAGCTAACGCATTTGAGGGGTCAATCGATGTACTACCGATAACAAAAAAAAATACATTCCTTTACAAAGAAAAATACTTTCCTTTACAAAGAACGTCCAAGATACAGCAGATAAATATAAAAATATTGTAAAATTGCGTTTCATCGATTCCTATAAATTTCTCAGCAGCAGTCTCGACAAATTAACATCTTTTCTCACTGAAGACAAGTTAAAAAGTTAAAAGTTAAAAGTTGTACGGTCAGAATTTTCACAATTATCCGTCGAAGAATTTGATTTATTGACTCGAAAAGGTGTCTCCGTACGAATACGTGGATTGTGCGGACAAGCTGCAGGATGTGTGTTTACCGCCGCGAGAATCGTTTTACAGTTTGTTGATGGGCGATACGGTATCCGAGAGCGATTACGCGCACGCTGTAAACGTCTGGCAACGATTCTCTATTCGAACCTTGAGCGAATATAGCGATTTGTACTTGATGTCTTGTTATTGGCTGATATTTTTGAAAATTTTCGCGATAGCTATATCGCAAGTTATGGATTAGATCCTGCGTATTATTATACTTTGCCAGGTTTTACGTGGGATGCAATGTTGAAACATACCGCATAAATTTTGAGTTGCTCACTGAAATTGATATGCTCATGTTCATCGAACGCGGTATACGTGGTGGCTTGAGTCAATGTTCCGGTAGATACGCGCAAGCCAATAACAAGTACATGCAGTCTTACGATCCATCGAAATTGTATCTGATGTACTTTGACGTAAACAACTTGTACGGGTGGGCAATGTGTCAACCGCTGCCTTACGCTGAATTTCAATGGGTTACAGACTTTTCAAAATTTGATGTATCTTCAATAGTATCTTCGCTATCGATTCACCCATAGGTTATATTCTCGAGGTCGACTTGGAGTATCCGGAAGATTTACATAACGCACACGCTGACCTACCGTTTTGCCCAACGCCCGGTATGATAAACCACCCGGTAAAAGACAGGATAAACTTCTCGCGACGCTATACAAGAAACAACGTTATGTTATTCATTATCGCAACCTGCAGCAGTGCACGCGTCATGGTCTTCGTATCGTAAAGATATACCGGGTGCTTCAATTTGCTCAATCTCCATGGCTCCGCGATTATATCGAATTAAACACACAATTTAGAACGCGTGCAACTAATGATTTTGAAAAAAATTTGTACAATTGATGAACAATGCAGTATTCGGCAAAACGATGGAAAATGTTCGCAATCATGTAGATGTAAAACTGTTGACAAAATAGGATGGAAGGTACGGTGCTGAGACAATGATCGCAAAACCAAATTTTCATAGTAGAAGCGTTTTCGCCGAAAATTTAGTTGCCGTTGAATTGCGCAAACTCGAGGTGAAATTTAACAAGCCGATCTATGTGGGTATGTGCATACTCGATATATCAAAGGTTTGTTTGTATGGATTTCATCACGAGTACATGTATCCTCTGTATCGCGACAAATGTAAAATAATGTACACTGACACTGACAGTCTTATTTACAACATCAAATGCGATGATGTATACGAGCACATGAAACGTGATATTGCAAGGTTTGATACGAGTGATTATCCCGCTGACAACGTGTACGGTATACCGCTTGTAAATAAGAAAGTTCCGGGTTTGATGAAAGACGAAAACAATGGAGCGATAATGATGGAATTCGTCGGTCTCAGAGCGAAGATGTACGCGTTGAGAGTGAACGATAAAAGGGATGCAAAAAAGGCCAAAGGAGTTAAGAGTAATGTCGTAACGCGAACGATAACTTTTAATGATTATACACAATGTTTGAAAGAGGAGATTGAAACGACTCGCCAACAATCATGCATTAGATCAAAATTGCACGAAGTGTACACAGTGTCCGAAACGAAAATCGCTCTGAGTCCGTACGATGACAAGCGATATATCGTACCAGAATCAATCGATACGTTACCATGGGGACATTATCGTATACCGCTATAAAAAAAAATGTATATATTAAAATGTATATATTACAAGTGTACCCCGATTAAGGTAAAATATATATTAGGTTAGGATATATGTCGAATGCGATAATAAAATATATTTTTATATAAAAATAGAACTTAGTTCGATAGCAGTCTGCGATTGGTATTGTCAATAAAGGTTCAAATTACAAAAAATTGTTTATTGATTATTTTAATACAATAAAATACATTTTACAATACATTATCCTTGTTTATCCATGAGTTGTATGAATTGCTAAATCCCAACCATTTCACGTAAACCTTGTCACCTTCTCTGCGTAATACTTTTTCCACCAGGTATACATCAGGGTTATTAACACGATGCAGTTCATGTTCGTAGAATCCTCCAGCGACAGGCTGTTCGCGAAAATCCTCGAGCAGATAAGTAACAGGATTAGTTGTCTGTACTTTGGCAATAGTAAATACTTCGGTTGTCCAGTTCGGTGTGTAACCCTTCTCGAAGACAGTCTTGAATTTGCTAACACGTACATAATCGCCCACTTTGAATTTAGCAGGCGCTGCAATTTTTACGTTGCTGTACACTGTATTCAGGAGCTTATCGGCGATCACGGGGATAACATCTATAGGACGCATTCCGATGGTTCGATGTTTACACCAATTGTACTGCGATACGAGATTCGGCAGCGCATCGATCCATTTATAGGTTCCGTTGAATGTAAACATTTTCCACATATTATTTTTTAACGTACGATTGAATCGTTCCACGACGGAGGCCTTCATTACTGAGTACGTCGAATAATGATTGATGTTGTGTTTCTTTATTAGTTTCTGAACATCTGCGTTGTAAAATTCCTTGCCTTGATCGGTTTGCAAATTTTTCGGACATCTGTCTCGAATTATCTTGGTGAACACTTCAGCTACCTCTTTTCCGCTCTTACTCTTCAGCGGCACAGCCCATGCGTATTTGCTCAGCACATCAATAACCGTAAGTATATAGTGATGACCTTTGTTAAATCGCGCATAAGGACGCATCTCTACCACATCGGCTTGCCACAGATCATCGTATCCGCGTACAATGACGCGCCTACGAGGAAAATTTTTTCTCGCCGAAGCATGCAGTTCGTCTACGAGTCGCTGCTTTTCGTTTTTCCGTTTGTTAATCTTTGATGATTCCTTCACCATTATGGAATGACTTTTCTCGTGCTTATGTCTATGTGTATACTGATTTAACTGTAATATTCCATTATTTATTTATCTTTTTTCATAGATTTACTTTCTTCTACTTTCGCATCAGTATTTTTTGTCTTAGATTTACTTTCTTCTACTTTCGTATCAGTATTTTTTGTCTTAGATTTATTTTTTTCTTGTATCATATCAACTAACAGATTGATGTTTTGATGAAGATCATACATACTCTGTATGTTTTTCGCCCTGATTATTCCTGTTCAGTTTTCAACGTTTTACTATTCTCCTCCAATCGATATTTCAACGTTTTAATATTCTCTTCTAGTCGATCTTTCAACGTTTTAATATTCTCTTCCAGTTGATCTTTCAACGTTTTAATATTTTCATTCACATGCTTTGCGATCTGTTCTCTCCACACTTTAAAATTCTCATCCACATAATTTTTGTGTGCAGCGTCATTGAAGGCTTCCGGCCACGTTACATGTCGTATTTTGATCCCTTTTGTATCAAAGAATTTACGGTCGGCAGATATACAAAGAGTATTATCTTGTACATATCGTTTGCTCGCAAAGTCGCGCAAACTATCAGTCGCAAATTTTGCGAAACGCTCTTCCACATATTGTTTGGTTTTAACGTCACTATCGGCTTTCGGTTGCGCTACATGTTGTATCTTGCGAGACTTTGCGTCAAAATCTTTAGCCGCGTTTAGACAAAGGGCATTTTCATGTACATAACTTTCAACGTATTCATCCCATCGTTCTACAGGAATAGTTCTGGAACTGTTATTGTTTCGCGATGTTCCAAACTTATCCATCGACATTTCGACACGAGCAGTATCGACTGACTGACTCGTGTCAACGCTGCGCTGCTTAATTTATAATGAGGCCAGCTTCACGGAGTTCTTCGATAATTGATAAAATTTCATTGCCGTGAACATTGTTGCCAGCTTTACGCGAAGCTTCCAGTAATCGTAAACGATCCACCAGCTCGTTGGGATCATCCCAATACGTATAATCGATTTTGTTTTCGTTTAACGTCATCACATCTCGCGATACGGAGAAGCCTTTCCCTACCGCCTTATTGCTCGACATGTGTGATACCAGAGGGCTTATTATATTCTTATACTTGTACCCTTTGTTACCGAGTATAGGATTTAGAGGCGATTGTATAGGATTGTAGCCGCGTCTGTGAGCATTCGTCGCCAGCAGTATACTTTTGTATTAGGACCTTAACTTAGTTTCCGCCCAAAAAATACTGAGAAAAAGCATTTATTGTAAAAAATTTATTTAAATTATTTCAATTAAAGTATTTTCCATCACTTTCTACAACTTTTTGCCATCTTTCTGGCAACTGGGCGATACCATCTCGATAAAACGATGTTTGTTTCGAAGCAATCCATTCGTCCACCCATTCTCGCACTTCTTCAACATTTCGGAAGCGTGTACCACTCAAGCCGTGCTGCATCGATCTGAACAAGTGGTAATCAGAAGGCGCTATGTCTGGTGAGTACGCTGGGTGAGGAAGAGTTTCCCATTCGAGCTGCGTCAGTGTTTCTTTGACGGTTTTTCCAGTGTGTGGCCGAGCGTTATCGTGT